AGACAAAAGTAAAATGTATTATAATTATTAATAATAGATCCATAAAATTACTAAATAATATAATATATCAAATATAATTTTTTAGTGAGTAATTTTAATTTATTTATCTTAATAAAAGTAAAATATAATTATAAAACTACTGATAAAATTAAATCATAAGTTAAATAAAAAAATTAAAGCAGAATACAAACAGTGGAATTTTATATGTTGTAGATTTACAGTATATCTAATTTTATAAATTATCATATGACAATCAAGTTATTTTCACCATTTTAACGAATTATATATTTTACAGAAAACTATTAAATATTGATAAGGACATCAGAAAATGTCATTTAAAGACATTGTGGGATGAATAATATGAAGATTAATTTTTAATATCATTTATATTTAAATTAATTAGATGGCGTTAAATAATTGAATGCAAATTGTTGGTATATTTATTATCAAGAGCATTGATTAGTAAAATTTGTTAAAATATTAACTTTAATATATTTTCTAACTGACAAATATGTCTGTAAAAGTGGAATTTTACCTAGTATTTTGTAACTAATTCTATATAATAGAGGAATATCAACTCAATGTCTACTTACTTTTTATAAATAAATTTCTTATACTTGTTTGGAATAAATTATTACCATGCTTTTATATTAATGTATGTACAAGTAATTTATTATATTTAACTAATAAAAATATATTTCATGTTTGTTCCAGGCTTATTTTTTACTAAAATTAACCTCCTATCTTGTAAAAATATTTTATGACTATCGGGCAAAAGCTGGTTCCAGGCTTATTTTTTACTAAAATTAACCTCCTATCTTGTAAAAAATTTTATGACTATCGGGCAAAAGCGAGCTGAAGGCCCGCCTAAAATGGGGGATCTGAGGGCGAAGCCCCCAGTAATTTTTATCCACCCCCTTAAGAAAATCCTGGCTACGCCTATGAGCAGCGTCTAAATGAGCGGGAGGGGTAGGAACAGTTTGCATCCTATTTTTTGAGGGGGAGGTAGGGGGTAGGCTGCTTAATGGTGGTAAGATAAATTTTCTGGGGGGTTATCTATTAAATTTCCAAATAAAACTTTCTGCTATCATTTCAGCAAGCTCATAATGCCTTAATAATGTAAATAATGGAGGTTTTAATTGAATTTATTATCTAAAAAATAAATTCTTTATATTCACAAAATATCGATAGTTGGTAGTAGTGATAGATTAATTTAAGTTATCCTTTATAAATTCTCTGAAAAGAGTATCAATAAATTTAAAAGGTAAAATAATAATAAGGAGACACCGCCGCCGAAGGTGGGCAGAATTTTTTAGGGGGGTGGGCAAAGATTTTTGAAGGGAGTTTGCATCCAGTAAAAATCCTGTCATGTAGAAGCTGCCTATGTGAACGATCAATATCAAGGTCAACGATGTATGACTACTACAACTACGATATGATAAAGAAACATGCTAGGTAACGATTGAATGATGGATATTTTACCGAAAAACATACTTACGACAACCTGCAATAATAACATAGGATATAAACCATATTAACCGCTATTGCAAAACAAGGAAAGGTCAAATATCAACAAAACAAAGATATAGTGACCCAACCCCGGTTTTTTTTCTGAGGAAAGGGAGCGTGATATAGCTTGTTGTAATTTTATTTTAAAATTATTACTATGTTTTTCCGTTTCTGAGTTAATTTAATGTTGTTAACATAATTTCAAGGATATTAAAAAAGAATATTGATAAAAATTATATGATGCTTATATATATTGTATACAATGCATTGATTATATACAATCGAGTTTTAATTGATTGGGATTTTTAAAGAAATAAAATTGGAAAAATCGTTTGGTAAAATTCCGTTTTTCTTTATTAACTTGAAAAGTTATGCTATAGTTTTTTGACAATCGTATCAACAATTTAATCTTAACATTTTGTCTCAAATACCTTTAGGCATCACGAATAATATATTAAAAAATTTGTATTCTTATATTCATTAAGAATTAAAAGTTATTTATATTCGATTCTTTTAAGAAAATCAAATAATTTATAGAATATACTATTTTTATTTGATTGGTATAATTACGAATAGTAAATTAATCGATTCGTTTAAAAAAATTGAATACGATTAATTCATTAATTGACTCGTATTTGTTTTTAGATAGGCCTAGATAGAATATGACTAATTATAAAAATATATTTATACTTAATTTGTTACATATAAATTAAAATATATTTGATGGATTTTAAAAAATTTAATATATGAATATAATATAAACTTTTACTGAATTTATAATATACCGATTTTTTAAATTTAGGGTAAAATTTTGTATTATTAATTTGTTCTAAAATAAAATATTAAATCTGTCTTCCCAATTCTTCAAAAAAGTATTGAGCTTTATTTCTGAAAGTTGTAAAAATGAAGCAAGCGAAGGGTATGAATGATTAAGAAGGATCGGTGGAGCTGTATTTGGTGTATTTCCAAGTTTCTATAATGGCGAGGGCATCGAAATTGTGGCTGGATGGTGCATTTGAATTAATGCAGGTCAAATCCCAAACCAAATGTGAACTAGTGTTGTTAAACGGCTTAATTTGACCCGATTTTTAAAAAATGACTAACTCAATATTTTAGCCAGAAATATATTGTCTAAGCCTTAAAATTTATTTAATAGATGTTCAAACCTTTTTACCTTTCTAAGAGAAAAATTTTAAGGCTTGCATAATATTTTTCTGAATGAAATATTGAGTTTGCCATTTTTAAAAATAGGCTCAAAAAGAGCCGTTTAACAACACTATTGTCAACATTTAATTAAGAAATTAAGGACATTCTAGCAGGTCTTTTCCATCGGTTCTAAATATGCAGATTGGTTTAAGTCTAAAGTGAATGCCTGCGAATTTAAGTGCACGTATAATTATGTCGTTACATTTGGTGTGCTGTGAGAAATGGCCTCGACGAAGCGGCAATGCCGCCCTTGATATATAAGCTAGTTACATAATATTTACACGCGTAAGGTAGAACATCAAGAGTTGAGTCATAATTAATACTAAACCTTAGCTTATCAGAGGAAAGTGTCGAATCGGAGCTGTTGGAAGGTATGGTTTCCATAGTAACCGAATCCTTGGTTCAATTGGGGAAAAACTGTGAGATCGTCATCGTTAAGGCTAAATTTTAAATAAGTGACGAAGCCTTCTTTGAGCGGAATCCCAATCTTCCTCACGAGGAGGGTCGAAAAGTTTTTAGGACTAAAAAATTATCCCAAATGACAGGGCTTCGGCTAACAAGGGATCAGCAAAGGGGGAAAGCTGGTCTTTTTATGGATAAGATGAGAGATGAGAAGCTATGAATCCATTAATAAAAATATTTATGGGTGGACCTAAGATAGTGAACCCAGGCTTGCATGAAAGTGTTGTTTGTAATCATGAGTTATGCTTAAAGCAGAGATTAAGGATCTCTTCAGTATGTGATTTGTCAGCTTTACGAAATTTGAAAATTGAGATAGATCGAAGAGCGTAAGGAATTTTAGGGATATAATAAATGTTTTTGAGAAGAAAAAAAGCTTGATGTGGAGGTAATATTTTTTAAATGAAGAAAGCTAGATAAAGCATTATTGAAGAAGCAATGGATTCTAAACCACCAATTGGGGAGCTGGTGAATATGATGAAACTGTATATTGGGTAGATCTCTATTTCCTGCTCGTTAAGTGAAAGTTCAATTGACTTTTAATTTTCGCTGCTATTATAGGTGCCCTATACTAATTTTTTAGAGTAGAGTGCCCCCGCCGCAAATTTTAGGAAAACACTATATTAGCATCTAATTTTATAGACCAAAAATCTCACATTCTCTAAAATTAGAAACAAATAGAAAAACCCTGAAAGAATGGCTTTTTATAAATCTATTTTTAAATGTATATGTGCAATTATGAATCATGCAATGAAATGTTTGAATTTTATCAATTTAGTTGGTCTACTTAATTAAATATTTGAAATAATTAATTTTTATTAAAAAAAATCAAATTATTCGTATTACGAATATTTGATTCGTATAAAAACGAATCTAAATCGTTTCAAAATTTAAGAAGCGAATCATTTATTCCAATTTCTAAGATAACTTTTATTACATTTAGTTAGCATTTAAAATAATCAGTTGAATTTTTAAATGACTCATAGAGGACCGGGCTTGGACCTACAAAAAAATTTAAGAATCGGGGCGGGTTTAAAAAATATAAACAATTTAATATTTTCTCCTGTTATAACACAACAAAATGATAATTGTTATATTTGATGACATAAAATATCATTAATTTGTGTTCAATGTTTAGCTTTATAATGTACCTATATTTTACATTTATTTACTTTTAGTTTAGTGGAAAATAATCGTATTTTGTTTTCTCTTATATTACATTTTGCATCTTTATTTATTTTTCTCTATAAATATTATATTAAAATATGAACATTATAGCGAAACTTGGAGGCTTTATGTTTTTTTTAGTTTGGCTTGTACTTTGAATATTGTTTTAGACTTGTATATATTACAGTTACTAAATTATTGATTTTGGAACTTGTAATTTTAGTATTTGGATTAATTACTGGATTATTTTACCCTGTAGCATTTATTCTTCAAGACCTATTATGCTCAACAACAGTTCATCATATTTTAGATTTAAGAAAAAAATTAAAATATATCTGTAATAAGAAAAACGCAATTAAGTTACTTCATTCATATTCATAAAAATATGTTTAATTTATATTTTTTACTATAAATTGCAGGCGAGACCTAAAAAATAAATAAAAATTTCAGGCTGTTTCGGGTTTAAAAATTAATTAAAATTTACAACTGGATCAAAAGAAAGAGTGATTTAAGAAAAACTAGAAAATGTGTTGATATTTTTTTTTACCTGAGATAAATACAAAAAAAATTTGATGCACTTCAAAATCAATCTTTATATGTATAAAATAAATTTATTTATAAAGCTAATCTTGCATTGTTTTATAAATTAAAGGGTATAATTTCAATGAGCAATATAACATAAAATATATTCACGATTTCAAAACGATTAAGTAAAAACAAAAAATATTATATAATTAAAAATGCACAGCTATAAATAAATGAACGACTAATATGAATACTATTCTCGCCTCGAGATTATAATAATCAAAATTATATTTAAAAAATAATAATTCAATATTGATTTTGCAAATAAATATATGAATAATAAACATAGGTTTTAAATTTGATTTAAAAAATTATATGCATTGCGATTGATAAGCTAAAATTATAAAAAATATAACTTTAACAATATCATAGAGATTTTAATAATTGATCAAATTTAGATTAAGTAAATGCACATATTTGTCAATCCATAGGATGATTGCTGTCCTAATTTCATCCCAATCGGCCCGTCTTAATCCTTTCATCCCAATCAGGCCAAAATCGTTTCTTCATCCTAACACAATACGAGGCTAAATTGGTCCAATCAGCTGTGCGAATAGTATAATATTATAGTATTTAAGTTTGTTATATCATAAGTCAAAATCGAATAATGGTAAAATACATAAGATATATTTTAAGAAATAAGGAATAAATTAAAAAATATAAATTGGATTAAAAAAATCCTTGACATCTAACGGCTCATAATATATAAATATAGAATACTTTGAAATTTATCTTTCAAAAGGTTATCGCTAGGTAATGTCCATAAAAATTGAGAAATTATCCCGAAGATCGAAGCATCAACTTCGGAGGGCTGCTCTCCCATAAAATAACTTTTATTTCCTGCGGATTATGATGTGATTGTTAAATTATAAACAAAAATCGATGATTAATTATAAAAATTAAACGGAATACGAAGAAATGGATTGCTTATTTATTGAAGGAAGTATATGAATGTTTATTTCTGAACCTATCATATAGATCCGTCCTAAACATATAAAACAATCCGTTTCTTCATTGTTCTTTATTATTATTTGGTGGTTATATCCTACTCTTATTAATTTAGATCATTTGGGGAATTAACTAAAGTATTACGTTATCGATAAAGAAGGTAATAGTTAAGTTTTTTAAATAGGTCCTCCTCCAATCTTTTAAAGCGAGAAAATTATAATTCAATCTTTTGCACCGTTTTTGGATTAAGTATGAATTGAACCTGTTCCACATTAATTTTAAATTCTATTAAAAGGTATTTTATATGCAATTCAAATTAAAAAAAAACATCCATCCATGAAATTGTAACTATTTGTTAGCCTTTACCTTTGCAGGAAATTATAAAAAAATGCGCGAATATGAATATTGCTAGCGAAGACAAAGGTTTATTTTTTTCGAATATTTTATCGCATATCAATATCAACAAGATATCCTAGCCATAATCTACATTAACGTAACTTTATCTGTATACGAGCTCCGGTAATAAAAAAAAAAGAAAATATCCAGTGAAAAAATATTTAAATTTCGATTTAAAATCGAATGGATTGAATATTGATATTTAAAAATAAAAATATTTTTATTGATAAAAATCCAGAGTAAGAATATGTTTAAAAACAGTGTATAAATATCATCAAAATAATTTCAGACTTTAGCATAATAAATAATTATGTTTTTATTTTACACATCTAAAAAAAATATCATGAAAATAAAATAAGTCAGGAATCCAATACTATCTTTGAATTGAAAATCGCGGGTTCGTCGGTTTTTCAATAGATTGTAATTCCACTGAGTCTTTTAAATTGGAAATTTGCACCGTGACCTTCAATAATTACCAAGTTGGTCCATAAATTATTTTTAAAGAAGAGGAGGAAAAATAAATAAATCGTAAAAAAAGGTAATCTGTATCCCTTTAGCGGTAAATAAATATTTTTTTAATTTTAATTGTATTTTTATTATTATTATGACTTTCTTAAAATTAAGGGATACACAAAAATTAAATATCGAAATATAATTAAATTTATTAAACTAGAACAGCATAAAAAGAGGGAGCATTTTTAGAAAAGGCAATGAAATTTCCAATCAAAATTTATGAGGGATTTTTAAACCTAAAAAAGTTGACAAGGCGTTAAGATCGGCGCTGGCTATGGCATAGACTTGGGGAAGAGTTTTGTACCCTATTCCATTTTGTGTAATTTTCTTGGAGACTTGACATTTGTAATACGGCCATAACAGATAATAGGCTAATCGCTGGCAACAAGTCAAGTGTAATTGACTCAAAAAGTGATGTATCGGGCAGTAAATGAATCTAAACATAACTAGGCACCTGTGACATACCAAAAAATAAAATTATTACAAGTTTAGAGAAAGAGGCGGGATAATAAATAACAATAAAGTTGCCATGGGAGTCGCCAGCTATTATTTTTAAATAAAGAGCTCTAGGTAAATGAAATTTAATAAAATTTATTAAGTAAAGAAAATAGAACCAAGTTGTTATTTATTTTAAAATTTAAATATATTATGCAAAACGTCATAAATGACCTCAAAACTTTATTTTGATCTAAAATAAATAACTTTTAAATTATCCGTATAAAAAAAAATTTTCTTTAATAAATTTTATAATAAATATCATATGCAATTTAGAGTAATAATAAATTATTAAAACCTCTGCTCAATGAAAAATTATGATGTGAAAATTAAAATTGCATATGATAATTCCAATCATTTTTGTTTTGTAAATTTAACAATTTTATTACTATATGTAGTAGATAACATCATTGAGTAAAACTTCCATATAGTGATCACTCAAGAGTGGTTTATTAATTAGTCATTTTATAGATGTGGTCAAATTAACAAATTTAATCTCCAATGTGACCATCTCTTCATATTATCCATCTTATACTATTTATTTTAAAATTTGATTGCCTCTATAAAGTTATTAAAATCCATAATGTTCTCCTTCACTGGTGGATATAGAAGCCGATATAACAGCACACACCATAAAGATGTGATCCCCTTTTTTATACTGTATCCAGAAATATCATGGTAAGTGTGCTATAGAATAATGTGAACCGAGGGGGGCATTAAGAAGAGATGGTAAACCACTGTTGAGTTGTCACTATGTAGATTCATAATATGACTATCAAAGTTAGTTATTAAGATATACATTTCTTAAGCAATTGTATAAATATATATAGAAAGTATTAACTTACCAAACTAAATGGTTTTCCGCCAATATTCTAAATGCAAGGGCTACTGATTTTTCCCTCTCAGAAAGTTGTTTGTTGAAATCAAATTCGAGCTTCTTATTAAAATAATCAATGCAGCCTTGTGAATCTGCTATTTCTAAGCCATTGTATTGAATCCAAGGTACTTTCCCTTCTGTAGATTTGATGAAATTACTATCTATCTACAAAAACATCAATAAATAAATAAATTTTTAAACATTACAATAATTAATGTTAGTATTTTGAAGCCATATCAAACATTAAAGATTTTATTGTTATTAGCATTCAAGTAAATAAATGTTAACTTTTATTAATTAGAAGATATACAGGATCTAATGTTTTCATTTGCACCAGATTCTAAAAAAATTTCCCTGACCAGATTTAGTACTAGATCTTATAAAAAATATTTATTAACTCTCATACATAGATTTTAAATTTAATTCAATAAAAATACATTTAAATTAAAAATTTCCCTGACCAGATTTAGTACTAGATTTTATAAAAAATATTTATTAACTCTCATTCATAGATATTAAATTTAATTCAATAAAAATATATTTAAATTGACAGTATTCAATAATTTATTCACATAGGATATTATTTTTAGTGTTGTAACCACTTTTTTATTATTAATTTCACATATTTAATAAAAGAAATATTATAAATGTGTTAAACTTAAACCTTTTAAAGCCCAACTTTTTTTTTAATAAGTAAAAAAAATTTATAAATTTTTAATTATATACTCCTTAAATAGATAATTTTATTTTAAATTTTATTTCGCAATGTATTTATAGAAAAAAATAATGATTTCATTTTCATCCATGAGCACCTAAATATCATAATTATATTATTGTGAATAAAAATGCTAACACTATAATAAATATCGTCAAATTTAGTAATAGAGGGGTATATCACAAAAACTAAAAAAAATAGAACATTTATAATTTGGCATGAGAATTTTAAAAGAACCAACCAGACCCAAAGAATGAAAATCATGCCAGGAATGGCATGCATCACTAATATTAATTCATATTAAATTGTACTTTATATGGTATATTGGCCATTCTTAAATAGGTTTCTAATTTCAAGACATAAGGTGAAGGGCTGGGAATAAATTTATCTGTTGGAGTCCCATAAATTAAAGCTACATCTTTAGGCAATGTTTTAGCTTGGCCATATCTTAATAATCGACTGTAATAAATAACCAATTATTTTTGTTATTTAAATAATATTTATTACCCGATAAGCCTCCATATGAAAACTACTATAAAGAATATAAATAACGAGAATAAGAAGAAAATAATTTGTGGAGGAAAAGAATGTTTAGGTATATAATTATTAATATTTCCAACATGTTTCTCCATTTCATGATACCCAGCAGCTTTATAAAGTTTAATTTTTTCACATATATTATGGTGGGAAAAGCGTTCTGGAAAGTATTTCTTATCTACGCCTAAGATTTCAAGAAATTTATAGATATAAAATAAAATATTATCAAGCATTATGATCGAAGGATAGATGATTTATTTATAATACAGCTGATGCTCACACTTATGTAGAATTCCATGACAAGTCAACAAAAAATACAATTTATCCAAACACCCATTGGCGTACGCAGCGGAGGGGGGGGGCAGGGGGACAAATCCCCCCCAAAGCAATAAATGCAGATGCCGGATATATTTTTCAAAAATATTATTGTTTAAATTAATTTATATTTGTTAATATTTATTCGTCATATTAAATATATATTTAATTACATTTTTTATCGCATTTATCTACTAAGTTATTTTATCAATTAAATTCGATTTTAAGTTTTCCGGCGTAATATTTACTTATTATTTTCAAATTTTTAGTGGCGTAATATTTATCTACCATTTTCAAATTTCTAGTCAAATTATAATTATTTCTGAAACTTCTTGTCAGGGAAAAGGAAATTGCAAGTCCAACGAGATAGAGTCTCTGCCATCAAGCAGTAACAGCTTAAGGAGTTAGAAGAGCCAATTATTTGCTATTACTGAAATATCACAATGGCCTGAAAGAAATATTTCCTCAGAAGCAAGAAAATTATTGGATACAATGCTTATTCCAAATTTTATTTCTCATTAGAATGTATTATTTAATTATACAATTATTTTAAGTATTACTTTTCAAAAACATGACATTGACTTGATTAAGAAAATGAGAATAGCGGAGAGCATTTTATCAGAACTCAAGGAAATTAGGGCTAATGTTGTTGAAGAATTTCATATTTTATATTTTATTGTTGAGTCAAAAGCAGAGCTATACCTGTTTAATATTTGTCTCCCTCGACTTGTAGCAAGGCAAGCTCATCGTTAAAACATTAATATAGGATCAGTAGAAGAGTATATCTTAAATCAGATACATTTATAACCCAAATAAATGAATTTTTAATTCATCATGCAGCACTTACTAATCTGCAAATAACTTCCACAAAAGCCTTCCCAACTTTTTTCAGATGGTGATAGAAAAAAAATATTTGTTAGATTTTTATTATGTATATGTTAAAGTATCTTATGATGCCTTACTAGCTGAATAACTATGTTTATAAGATTAACTATGGTTAATATAGTCCCAAAAAATGTTGTGGATGCTCTGCATTATTTCAAGCACATTTTAGATTAAATTCCCAATGTATTAAAGGGGTTTATAAACTCTTCCCATTAGTAAACTAATGGGAGAACATTCTCTTTTTTAAGAAGAATAACAGAGGCCTGGAGATATACCATTTGCAGGGCACGGCCCGGATTTTTTTTAAAGATTTTTTACGGACTGTTGTAATAGAATATTTATTTATTTTGAGTATATCTACTAATTTTTTATTTCAATTAAGCTATTTAAATCTTTGCTAACTTAAAAAAATTGCAAATTTACAATAAATTAAATTTTTGGATAGTTTTTATATTTTGTAAATATAAATTTTTTTTTAAATTTATTTAAAAATGCTCATATGTAGTGTTGTTAAATTGCTGGGTCGGGTCGGCTTGGCCGAAAACCCAGCAAGGTTTGAGCCGAAAAAACGACCTTAAACCCTAGCCAACCCATTTAGCCATAGATCAGACCCGACCCGACCCAATGGGCCTCATGAGCCGACCCATTGGGCCGACCTGATGAGTCGGCTTGCTGGGTCGGCTTGAAGGGTCGGCTTGCTGGGTCAGCTTGTTGGGTCGGCTTGCTGGGTCGGCTTGCGTTAAAATTTGTCATAATAGTCATCTTTAAGTTTTTTCGAATTTTTTTGAAGCAAATAGGTAAAAATATATATTGTAAACATGTTAAATTAAATTTTCAGTGAATATGTACCTTAGAAAAGTGACAATTGTCATAATCGTCATTTTTAAGTTTTTTCGAGAAGCAAATAGGTAAAAATATATGTTGTGAACATGTTAAATTAAATTTTCAGTGAATATGTACCTTAGAAAAGTGACAATTGTCATAATCGTCATCTTTAAGTTCTTTCGAATTTTTTTGAAGCATATAGGTAAAATATATATTGTGAACATGTTAAATTAAATTTTCAGTGAATATGTACCTTAGAAAAGTGACAATTGTCATAATCGTCATTTTTAAGTTTTTTCGAATTTTTTCGAAGCAAATTGTTAAAAATATATATTGTAAACATGTTATATTAAATTTTCAGTGAATAAGTACCTTAGAAAAGTGACAGTTTTTTCGAATTTTTTTGAAGCAAATAGGTAAAAATATATATTGCAAACATGTTTAATTAAATTTTCAGTGAATATGTTCCTTAGAAAAGTGACAATTGTCATAATCGTCATTTTTAAGTTTTGTCGAATTTTTTTGAAGCAAATAGGTAAAAATATATATTGTAAACATGTTAAATTAAATTTGCAGTGAATATATACCTTAGAAAAGTGACAATTGTCATAATCGTCATCTTTAAGTTTTTTAAACCTTCTTTTAATCTTAGTGGTTTTTTAATATTATAAAGTACTAAAATTTTATTTTTATAAAGATATTTCTATTGCCATTTTTTTTAACACCACGCTTGAAATGTAAAAATTAAAAAAACATTTTATTTATGTTTAAAGTCTTGTAAAAAGTTTTGGATATTTAAAGATTTTCTAAAACCATTGGATCTAGTAATAAGGTGTCACTGCAATTATATTTTATTCTAATGAGGAAAATTTTATTTAAAATTGTTAAAAGCCTATTTAAAAAATTTTGATATTGGAAAGATGTTATAAAATATTTGGATTCAGTAAGAAATTTTTTCTTTCATTACTTTTTGACTCCACCCTTAAAAATCTAGAAATATAAAAAAAATTATACTTATTTTCAGACTAGTAAAAAGTTTTTATAATTAGAAAAATATTTCTAAATCTCTAATATTGATACTGCTATTATATTTTATTCTTTTTTTTTAACTTGAACTTAGTTTATAATATTTGGTATTAGATATGAGCGGTATATCATTTGAAACTTTTTAAAGGATTGGTAGATAATAGGAAAATACAGGGAAAATTGAGCAAGGAACTCATTTTTAAATTTAAGACATTCAGGTAATATGTAACTACTATAAATTTTTTATATTAAATCTGATTTGAAACACATGATTTTAATTATTATTTGATTTAAGATCATGGATATAATTCTTGACAAATTTTAAATTATTTTTCATAATTTCTGAGTTTTACAAATATTTTGTTTACATATCACGATTCTAAATACTTTCTACCACTAATGCATCATTATAAATTATAATTTTTAATTGATTTTTTTTCTTTGGTAATTGTGTGGATGACTTATGCAAAATACAAATATTCATACTTAAGAATGAATATCATAGAAAAAATTTGGAAAACATTTATATCTTCAGAGATACTACTAATTAGGAATTAAAATTTTTTTATCTATAAACCCCCCCCCCCCTTTCTTTTTAGAAATAATAACTATTTTAATTTAAAAATGATATATTTAAAATTATTCATTTATCGCAAGTAGGCTCTTATATTTTATAAGTAAAAATTTACAAATGCAAAATATATAAGGCACATTATCATATCTTTATTATTTTCTTAAATAAAAAATAAAAATTATATGAAATCAAATAACAAATAATAACAAATTAAAAAAAAAATTCGTCACGCAAATTTAAAACATTAACATCCCATGAATTTATACATAGGCATTGTTTTAACGTTGAGGCTGACATCCTATTCCTCTTAGTAATGGTTGCGCCGGCTCAAGAAAAAATACGTTCGCTTGCTACGGACGTAGTTTGTTTGCATAAGTAAACCTTGGCCAATGTCGACAGCTTTGGAAAACGATTAGCTTTTCGAGACCACCAATCTATAATATCAACAGAGGTTTGAGCAACCGGATCTGTTAAATATTCTTCGATTTCTTCTCCGTCTAAATTTGGCATAATGTATGATTTCCTTAATATAAAATATTTAAAATTAAATTAACTATTTATTATATAATCAAATCCATTGTAAAACCTTGTAACAAACATATTTTAAAAATGCCTATTTTGCAACTATATGCTTTATTAATTTTATAAGTTCTTAAGTCTCTATTTTTAATTGTTTAATAAATATTTATATTAACTCAAATAACTATCTTAATTTTTGTTTAATGTAAGCATAATATTTAAATGTAGTCACTCCAATATAGCTTCAAAAATGTTTGTTAGAAGTTTTTATAATGAGTATTCTATATAATTAAATATTTATATTTACCTTAACTCATTCAGAATACTGACAGACATTAGATTGGATTCATTACTATCCTCCTCCTCGAAATCATATATCGATTTCGATGTACCATAATCATCAAATACTTTTCATAATAAAAGGTAAAAAAATTTTTTTTAATTTATAAGAGTAAGGATAAAATATTATATTTTAAAAGTAATAAATATATATCAAGTAAAAAAAAATTAAGTAAAAAAAATTTAATATTTTGAAAAAACATGTGTTCCGACGAGAATTTATATGACGGCATCTGGCTTGTTTTTTTAAGAATAGAAAAGATTCTAAAATTTGTTATTTTATTTAATATATTATTAAAACATTTTTATTTTTTGATTTCGACGAAATGGAAGGAAATAAAAATCTAAAAAAAATGATTTTTATAAAATATATGGCCCGGCCCGGGTATTCAAAAATTTTTATATTTAATAATTTATAATGAAAATCTATATATATTAAAGGCTAAACCCTAAAAATTTTAGAAGATATATTGAATTTCTTAAAATTTTAATTTACATAAAAATCTTTTGAAAAATTATAAAAAAATTATTATAAATTAAAGTCTCTCCATAAGTTTGTATAAAATTGTACGACATTTATAAGTAGTGTTATTAGCTTAAAAATCAACTATACCTAATTAGGCCTAACCGAAAAATCGCCTAAAACTATTTAGACAAAATGTAGGGATTGGGAGACGTTACACAACACTAAGCCTAGCCTTAATTATTCTATAATCCTATTTATCAAAATTAAATATTTATAATTAT